ACACACACACACACACACACACACACACACACACACACACACACACGGTTTAAAGTCTCCGCTGAACTCATCAAATGTGCAGTAAAGCAAATAAAACAGTTTAGTTAAAGTTTTAAATGTGTGTGTTGTTTATCAGAACTTGTTTGTCTGAGCTTAGTCTGCTAACAATGTGGTGTCTCACAGGGTTGTGTGTCAAGACAACATTAGGGTTGGGCAATATTGGCAAAAAAATTTAATCACGAGTAATTGCAGTATTTAGCCGATAACGATTAATTTGACGATTTATGCCCTGGAGTCCCTGGACACCCTTAAGTCCTAGTCACATGAGCAATTTAGTGGGAAAGATTTGCTCTTCGTAAAAATCTTTTTCAAACTGTGTCAAAATTACAGACTTCAAGCTATACATCAGTTTTAAATTGTGTTGATATATAAATAAATTAGAGAACTTGTTTTTAATGTAAACCCTGTGATGGACTTGAGACCTGTCCAGGGTGTACCCCGCCCCTCGCACTGTGACTGCTGGATATGGGCACCAGTGACCCACGTAACCCTGAAAAGGAAGAAGTGTGTACAGAAAATGGATGGATGGATGTTTTTAATGTTCGTAATATTTGAAGCAGATTGGAGAACCGAGCAGACTGACTGGAGAAACCTCCCCTGGTGGCATTAATCATATTAATCGTCAAGTGCCAAAAAATAATCGATTAATGTTCTACTGACGATTAATTACACACGATACGATTATGCCCAACCCTACCTTACATGTTAGTAGATGTTTTAATTGTGAATAGAATAGAATAGGTGTAATAGCAGCAGCAGATACAAACATCAATGCACAGAAACAGTATATAGAATTATTCTGTTAAATGTGCATTTAAAAAAAACTGCATAATATTAACATAATTTATTTAGCTATGATTTGTTCTTTGCTTTAAACAGCTCATTATCTGATGATGTAAACAAAGCTTAAGTTTTTTATTACCTTTGTAACATGTTTAGATACGATTTAAAGCACTGACATCTAAAACCAGAGGTTTATAGTAACAAAGTAAATTTACTTTGTTACAGTGCTTAAGTAATTTTTGGAGGATTTGTAATTTTACCAATTATTTTTGTAACAGCTACTTATTTATTTTGTTACATTTTAAAGCTAAAAATGATACTTTTACTTCTTTACGTTAAAATCTAACATCTAGTTACTCGTTACAAAATTAAATATGTTGGAACTCATCATGGAAGATGATGTTTCTGCACTCTAAAAAATGAAGGGTTGAATTTACTCAACAAAGACATGTCAACTGGCTCCGCTGAGCCTAGCTGAGTAAACTGAGTAAATAATATACATATATCGCTCAGTTTACTCAACCTGGCTTAGTGGAACCAGTTCAGTAAATTCAACAATTTAATTATCAGAGTGTAAACGTACTTTTACGTTCCCAGTTTTTGTGAACAGTTTTATGACTTTTACTTGAGTAGTTCTCTCATCAGTGAAATTTATTTTTACCAGTCATTTTCTGTTCATGTAAATTTACTTTTATTTAGTTTTTTGTTTCAAGCACTTTATAGACCTCTGTCTAAAACTAGTCCTCTGATAGTAACATCTTTTTATTGTTTTCTAAATGGATTTCTTTCTGTAGCTTCTCCTCCTGACAGACGATGAGCACCACCACGGCAGAAATGGAGGCTGTTGAAACAGAGGGCGGTCCGGAGGAGCAGGGAGCCGTGGCAGCAGGTCACACAGGGATTCCAGTGAAGCCAGTTTGGGCTTCGTTAGAAGAAGCAGTTCAGATTAAAACGGAAGGAAACGCTTTCTACAGAGAGAGGAACATTCGCTCTGCCATCGGTCGTTACCATCGCGCTCTGCTGGTGCTCCGAGGCCTCGACGCTGACTTGATGGCACCGGTGAAAGGATTTGCACCCCAGACACCTCCCCTCACGCCTGAACAGGACTCGTTACTGAGAAAAACACAAGTGGACTGCTACAACAATCTAGCTGGTAGGTACTCACTTTGATTATTATTTTTTTGTCAGCTTACCATCCAGATTTTTAAACAAGTGATAGTTAACCATTATTCACATTTTGCTTAATTTGCATATTTCTGTGAAACTCGTGTGTTTTAGCCTGTTTGCTGCAGAAGCAGAAGGTCGATTACGCTCGTGTGCTGGAGTACAGTTTGCGAGTGCTGCGGTGGCAGCCAGGCAACGTCAAAGCGCTGTATAGGGCCGGAGTAGCCACTCTGGAGATCGGAGACGCAGAGTCAGCGAAACAGTACCTGACCCAGGCCTGCAGAGCACAACCTAATGGTAAGAAGAGAGCCAGGACACTGTAATCAGCTACAGCGGGGTTTAAAGTATTGACTGATGGTTGCTTGTTTTTAAACAGACGTGACGGGTTCTAATCTAATCTGTACTGACGGAAATGTTAGAAAGCTTGTAAAGTATAATGAAAACGCAATAATTTATAATTAAAACGCTCGTTTTTCTTGAAAAGATGAGCATCATCCTCTGCCTTTCATGTCAGAGTTTTAGACTAAGCTCATCGTTGGTTGAGCAGCGAGTTATAACCTTGTTATAACACTGTGTGTGATTCCATGTAATATTTTGTAACGTGACAGTCAAAGTGTGTTTTGTGAATGAGTCACCTACTGTCATGTCTAATTTTAGTTCAGTATCTGGAAAACTTACTGTCATTTCTGTGTTGACTAATTTCAATCAGCTGCGGCGGCCGTCAACTGTAGATATGGATTAAAATCTATAAGATACTTTGGTAACAGACACACATGAATACAAAAAAAATAATCGTTTGGCATTATATGCTCTATATTTAACTGTTTTTAAGACAGAAAAAGGAAAAACAGCCCAGGTGAAAATTTTTAACCCCACCTTTTTTTTTTTTTGCACCTCACATATTTTCTGTCAGCGATTAACTTGTGTAAATCTCTGCCACGTTTGCCCCCACATTTCATCAGATTTTCTTTCCTTTGCTTCGTCAAAGTTCACTGATAGCAGCACATACGTAAAGCATCCCACACTCTTTATCTCCTCATGTCACAGACACCAGCGTGAAGAGGCACTTGCAGAGGGCGGAGGAGAAGCTAAATCAGGAGCTGCAGAAGGAGAAAGCCATGTATCGAGGCATGTTTTCCTCCGGCCCGCAGGACGGCAGCGGAGAGGAGGTCAGCCGACCGAACGGAGCAGGTGACCGAGTTTAAACTGACTCGTAAAGACCTCAGCTTCAGATCGTACAACGTCAGAGAAGCTTTCACACGCGTTGAATTGCTAATGTCACTGTCACTTTTACGAGTTTGAAGTGGACGTAGGAAAGTAAATGTTTGAACTTGGTACAGATTACTGGAAAGTAGTCAGCAGGACAATAAATATGTTCCTGCTGAAAATAGAAAGGCGAGCACGGACGAGTCAGTTTCCTAGCAACATGGAAATGAAGTCCAGTAATGTGTGTCTGCGAAGGCTGAAGAGACGCTTGGTGCGCTTTTTCAAACAGCCCTATAATTGAATTATTCTGTTCATGGATGTTAATTTTTTTTAATATACTTCAAGTAAAAATATTTTTTAAATAATTCCCGTTTCATATGTCTTTTTAACAAACTCGTGATTATTGCAGAATACAATGCAGGCATTTCAGAGCAAGTTTATTCGCTTCCTTTTATTTGTCATAAGCCACAAAAAGCCACAGTTTATTCTCATACATACTCTTAAGTCTTTTAATAATTCAATAATCGTTTTAAAATCCTGAGCAAAATATCAAGTTAAAGAGTTTCTGCTTGGTTTTGGTCATTATCTGGCCAACATGATTGTACTTCAGAAGCGGTATTGCCAAAAGTCAAAGAAGAATATTACATTCTCACAACAGATATATTCACTGAACAAGTCACAGAGCAGCATGCAGGGAGGGGGGAGTATGTGTATACACATTCGTACTGGTTAGACTCTTACGCAGTTAAGATTTTTATAGCCAATAATAAGTTACTATTGAGTTGGATAAAATGGAGCTTTTTTTTCTCACAAAAATATCCCAAAGTGGTGTTGAGCTGTCAGATCCTTGGAGACTCTGAAAAATTCAAGAAAAAAAATGTCTGAAGTTGTTTTAAAATATTCTCTTTCCTCCTTTGAATTATTATTATTATTGGTCTTAAATGGTATTTATTTATTCACAAATTGTTTTTTTTTTTCTCCACCACACCAGCACCTTCCAGCACTTTTGCCGGCTAAATAAATCAATTCAACACTAGACTTCAAAGCTGCGAAATGATGTTTCAAAGAAGTTCGATAAGCATATTTTTAGAAGATATAAAAACTGGCTATGGTTTATAATTTCTTCAGAAAATGAAGTTTTGTATGAAAGAAACTCCTACACTATGTGTTTAAGGGCTGTATTAGAGAACCTGGCAGTCTGTCAACTCAATACTTGTTTAATATTAAAATTTAAACAGTGATGGCACTTCCTTTTACATCAAATAAAACACTAAGCACAACTGGTGTTTTGAATGCAACACGTCGGCGACGCTTCGATGCTCAATGTACAAGTGTCACTACTTGGACGGCTTCTGTTTGAGACTCAGCGACCTCATCGAGCCGAAAACCTTCCTGCCCAAATCCCTCAGTGAGCGGGAGCGCTGGAGAGGCCCCCGCGGAGGCGGGGAAGGTGAGAACGACGGGGAGGACAGCGGGGAGAGCGACTGGCAGCTGCCCTCGAGGCTCTGGGATCGAGACAGGTTGAAGAGGCTGGCGGTGGAAGACAGGCGTTTGTCCTCTTCCTTCGCCCTCAGCAGCCGGAGCCCTTCGTCTTTGCCCACCCCCGCTCCGCCCTGCGCCACGTCTAAGGAGGACACCCAGTGCGCCCTCTTCGTCGGCTCTTCTCGGTGGTTTCGAGGCACCAGCAGGCCCTGGGACTCACTCCTGAACAGAGCCCTCCTGGAGAGACGGGAGTTGGAGCTGTGTCTCTCCCCCTCGTCCTTCCCTCTCATTCTTGAGAAGATGGGGGAGCAATCGACTTTTGGCTTTTTGTCAACGCTGCTGTACGTTGCCTTCACCCTACGGGCCTCCCTCCTCCAGGTTCCAATGTTGCCCCTGCTCCAGCCGTACCCATATTCAGCTCTGTCCAGCTCCTCCTTTTCGCTTTCAGAGTCTTTGCCCCAGAGGCGTCCCTCAAAGCCCCTCCAGAGCTTGCCGGGTGACTTCCTGGGGGTCTGAGCCGCGGCTCGTTCCTGTTCTTCCTCCTCAGCCCAAACAGAGCTGTAGTTGTCTCTCTTAGCGTAGCTGCTAACTGTAGCGGCCCTGACCAGCCTATGGGAGGCGTGCTTCCCTCTGTAGAGACCCTCTCCCTCCGCCTTCTTCCACCTGCCGCCGCCCTCACCGTCCCCCCCGCTGTGCCGGAGCGACCCGCTTCTCACCTGGATGCCACCGTGCTCCAGAGGCGAGGTTCTGGAGTTAGTGTGGGGCAGGGAGCACTGGAAGGGCGAATCCCGGCGGAAAACGGAGAGGGGGGTTGCGCCCAGTGGGGACGGCTGCAGGGGACGCGGCGGGGAGTGAGCCCTCGGCGTGGGGTGCGAAGCCGGGGAGGACGCTGTAGAGGAGGGGAGGTCGGACGGGGAAGGGATGTGCTGGTAGTGGCCGTATGAGGCGTAGTGGGAAGACGGAACATGGACGGACTGGTATGGGTGGATGGGGCTGCTGGAGTGTGAGAGAGGGGGGGTGAGGCTGGACTGAGACTGTGGAGAATGGGTGACACTAAGAGAGAGCTGTATGGGTCTCTGAGGACTCACCTCAATCAGTCTGGTAAAGTCATGGGTCTGATCCTTCTGGGCTGTGAGGTGACCTTTACTGTGGCCCCTCACCTCACCTGCTGAATCTGTTTGAAAGCAGTCAATATCCAGCTCCACCCCCTGTTCCATCAGTCCAACAACCACAGACCTGGACAGACCAGAAAGGCGGGAGATCTCCCCCACCATGGGGGAGTCTTCACTCAGCTTGGAACCAGAGCCTGACTCTTGGATCAAGCTGCTGCGCTGAGACCCGGGAGCCGATCCGGTATTTAAAACAAACTGTCCGGTCTCGGGCGGTGCACCGCTGCTCCAGTCCAACGAGCGACAGAAGGTGGACGATCTAAAAGCAGAACCGGCTCCCGGAGTGGACGGGACCTCCAGGGAGCTGCGGTGGCTCAGGCTGCTCGGACAAGTTGAAATCCGAGAACGAGACCTCGGTCCTGGGGTGGGCGTAGCGGACGAAAGGGAAGAGGCCGAGGCGGTTGAAGTGGTAGAAAAGTCGCTCCTCGGAACTCCGCAGCTGCCATTTTTGGGATTGTCTGTCAGACTGTGGCTAGAGTTCATCCCAGGGGTCAGGTTCAAGTTGAGGTTGAGGTGCAGGTTTATGCTCAGGTCCTCACCAGTTGCTGAGGGAAGGTTACCCAGGTTGATTGAATTCCTGGTAGCTTTTTTTCCCATGGCGCTGAGGCTGACTCTGGACGAGTTCCCCAACAGGGATTTGGAGGGTGTGATGCTCCCCCCTGGCAGGGTGGAGGGTGTACTACGGCTTTCAAAGGCAGACAGTGATTGGGTGGAGCCATGGCTTTTGCCAGGGGTACAAAGACCTTTGGGTGCGACTGGACCAGGAGTGGCAGCTGAGCTGAGATCAGAGGTGGAAGAGGTCATCCGACTGTGGTACTGTTGAACCAGCTTAGAGATGTATTGCTCCAAATGACTGACAGAGGCCAGAGCCGGCGGCTGCTGAGGCTGGAGGGGAACTGGTTTAAAGTCAGCATCTATCAGCTCGTCGTGATCCGTTTCCTCAGCCGTGGAGGTCGATTGCTCCTGGTTCTGGGAGGTGAAGAGTGGACTCTGGAGGGCAACGGCGTGGAGCGGGCTCGGATAGGAGTACACCTCTTTGGTCCGACGAGATACTAGATCTGTGCAGTAGCTGGGGTCCAGCTGGAGCTTTGAATGGTGGGATGCAGGAGAAACGGTGCTCAGGAGAGGCATGATGGAGAAAATCAAGGAGTCACCAAGAACTGTGCAAAGATCAGACAGGAAGCTCAGACCAGTGGCATCCAGGTCCCCTGGGAAAGAACACAAGAACAAAATCAGAGATATTAGTTATTTTACATCATTTAATGGATTTTAGCACATCCAAGTTCTACGACAACTGTTTCCCTTAAGACTTCTCATCTGAGAGGCCAAGGCTCTTCATCCCATAAGTTACAAAATAAGAGTCTTTAATCTACACAGCTCCTAAAGTTTCAGTCAAAACAAAACTTCAATTTAAAACTAGGGATGTCCCGATCGGATCCTCAGTATCGGTGGCAGATATGGCCATTTTTTGTAAATCGGGTAGAATCGGATTTAGTCATGTGATCGGGCTGATCCAGTTTTCGTGACAGTTTTCAGCATCATCATGCTTTACAACTGCTGTTAAGAAGTCAAGACGCACACAAGTATGCAACCATGTCCAGTGTGGGAACACTTTTCAATGGAAAACTGATGCTGAAACTGCATTTTGCAAAGTCTGCAAACTGGATGTTTCTCATGGTGGGAACAGCAGGGCTCTCTTTAATACTACCAACCTTGTCACTTGGAAAGAAATAAAGCTATCGGATCAGTATCGGAAAGACTAATCATTAAAAAAATTGGATTGTTTCAGGAGTCAAAAAATCTGGATCGGGACATCCCTATTTAAAATCTATAAAAACAAATTCTAAACATCTTAAATGTCTACATCAAAATGTTTAACAAAAAAAAAGATTTGACTTTCAGTTAGGAATGTGGTTCTGAGAGCAGAAACAGATTAAAGATAAATACTTTTTAAAGGCATTTTTTATGAGCTGACAGCCAAATATTTTCTCTCATGCGTCAGTTTTTAGACAGCATGTTAGAGGTTGCCAAGATTTAGATTGCTGTGTTCTCAGAGGGCAAAATATGTTTTTCAGCCAAGCGTGCTGAGAGAAAGTTATCTAAAAAGAAATAGTTATTTTCCATCATAGAATCAAACAAGTCTTTAAGGTGTTGTAGGGGTCACCTCGAGTGAAGAAACAAGATTTACTACCTCGAAGCAGGCTTTGGACAGGCCTGACGAGAGGACAGGAACTCTGTCACAAACTGAACTCTATTTAGGCCATGACAGGTCATTCTAACCGTGGAAGAGAACCCCTCAGTTCTCTTAATCAGATAATGGACAGAACAATCTCTTCTGTTCGTGATTCATTTGTTGTTTAACTAAGAATGTTTATGCATTTGTTAAATCATRATAATGACTGTCACAGGAAAAGTGGAACGACTTCTTTTATCGTGCCTTAAAGATTTATAATGGTATAAAAAAATCAGAGAATCTGATTGCAATGTTTTCATTGTGTTTTTATGTAAATCACTGTTTTTATTTTACTGTGAACACAGTAATATAATTGTGGATTTTTCTTGAGAAAATCTTTCATTTATCTGGACTAACAGAAGGTTCAGAACTGATTATAAAACAGAAATGTTAATTAATCATCATAAATGTTTTGCAGTGATTTCAGAGTTTATCAGAAGAAAGCTGAAAAGAGGTTATATCATGTTGTTGAACAACCACAGAATTTTAACCTTGGGCTGGCGCCGGCTGGCAAATCTTTATCTTTCTTTCTCTGACTCATCTGTAAGCCTGAGGGCGGAACCAAAGTTCGTCCATTTCTTTTACTAACCCGGACGGCTTTAAGCGACACTCTTCTTCCTGATTCCAACCTAGGAAGACAGCTGGGATTCTCTCCGGAGAAATCCCAGTTTGGCTTTAAGTCTGATCCCATGAGCTAACTAGGGAAGACTTCACAGCCAGGGACCCGGCACGCCTGCCGGTGGTTCCAAATCGAGGCTTCAAGCCTCTGAGTGTTTTTAACTCCCRAGGGGAGATTTTATTTTGGAAAGAGGAACCGGATACGGCTTGAATTTTTCTGGCTTGGACTGAAACAGACGAAAGTTACTTGGAAAAACACCTGTTCGCCAACGACCGGTAAGCAAGCCAGCTCCTACCCCGAGGGTGCATTAAGAAGTCATCATCAGGTAAAAGCTGATGTGTTCGGAGTGACGTGTCATGTGGAACCTGAGCTTAGAAAAGACGTGCAGTTCCGGTTGACCCACACTTTGATAAAAGTAAAAGTAGTAGTAACCTACTAATCTTACTTTCCTCCTTTCCTTGTTCTTAATTTGCCGAAACTTAAGCTAAAAGTGCCAGTAAAATTGTTTGGTTGTTAACATCAGAACTGACGTTTTACTGTTCTATATAAGTAATCTGAGTTGATGTGAATTGAAATTCGGACGCGGGTTTTATCTCATTTAACTCTGACGCTTGTTATAGGAATAACCACAATCAAGTGTAACTTATGATCTGTTCAATTTGTGTAAATAAATGATTGCATAGTCTTTTCAAATCATTTAATTTGTGGCTCATTTTAGTCTGAAGAAATAAAGGAAAAAAATTTGTTGCCCATTTTTAATTAATCGCGAACTTCACTTGACTCATCTGTAGCATCACTGAAGAACACTAGCCTAACAGCTGAGACTAAATTCTTCAAGAACATGGATGGACTTATAAGACACGTCTCCATCATCTCACCTGAACCTGGTTCTGGTTCCTCCGTTGGTTCCGGGTCTCGACTCTTGTTCGTCTCAGGCTGCTGCGTCTGCACCGCCTCCTCTGACCACAGGATGTCAGTGTTCTCAGCAGACCCGGGACCCTGTTCCCAAAGCTTCAGAGGTCTGGCGGGGGGCGGGGCTCCACCATGGGCGGCATCGCTGGACACGGAGTAACAGGAGTCCGACAAAGAGCTCCCACTCACTGAATAGAAACCTTGGAGAGAGAGAGAATTTTAAAAAAATCAATCAGTTTGTGTCTGTGCTGCGACGGCCAGCTCTTTAAAAGAGGAATTTATGATGAATTTTCTATATGAGTAAATGAGCTGTTAGAAAGGACTGTAAAAAGAAGTTAAACAGAAACGAGACAATCCCCTACAGAAACTCAAACTTCAGTAAAATTCCAAGAGAAGGGTTTCGTGGTACTTCAAAACCTTTGCGTTTGCAGTTCAGTGGGAAAAATTTGGTACAATTAAAACTTGACCTCAGCTTTTGTTTCAGTTTATAACAGACGTGTTGAAAATAAATTTGTGAGTACAGACAGAAAAGGAGCGTTGACGACTAAAAAGCAGAAATTTGATAATTTAGCACAAAAAAACCTGCAGGGTCGGCAGCAATAAACAGTCTTGGGCAAGTCAAACAAAGTTCAGGTAAATAAACGTAAAAAGATCGTGGTTAATGTTTAATGACGTGAACTGCAGTTTTATCAAAAGGTGACGAAGTATTGTACGAGTCTGTGCTGTTATCTCACACACACACACACACACACACACACACAAAAGTTTGCACAGCTATCTATTGACTATTCCATTACATTTCTATTCCATTGACTTCCATTCCATTTCTACAGCCTAACCCTGACCACAAACCCTAAGGCTAACCTCACAGGTACCTGACCCTAAAACAGACCTAAACACAATTCACACCTTGGTCCTAAACACAACCTCCAACCCACCAATGGCATTTAAACCAAATGGGGACTCGACTTTTGTCCCAAAATGCACCAGTTGTCCCCAAATGTAGGATTTTTGTCTTAAAATTGCCCCCAAATGCCACCAAAGCCGAACCCACACACACACACACACACACACACACATTTAAAGGTGTGTTCTTTACCTGAACTGGGTCTGGAGTCGCCGTCCGGGGGAACCGTACCGCTCAGGTCTGGAGTCGGAGGGGAGAGCAACTCGGAAGGGGCGTCCCAGGACAGACTGGACCAGCGCGAGTTACTCCCCCTGTTTGAGGTGGACTGGACTGTCACGTCCCCCGAGTTACTGCCACAGTCCTCGGGGCTGCTCTGACATGGAGACCCCATTGTGTTTGTGGGAGAGGGAGCCTGGAAACAAAAAATACAAATCAGTCAGAGCTGAGCGATGGAGAAAAACGTGTAATGATGGATGATTAAAAAAAACATTTTAGAAATAAGTGGAGATCATTGTTAAAATTCATGACTTCCCTGGAAGGAATACATGTCTCCCAACACCGTACATGTAAAGAAAAATTGAGCAATCACTAGAGTATGAGATAAGATTAACTTTCAGCTACTACTAAAACAAATTTTAGCTCAGTATTTCTAAAATGGATGGAGTTCCAGCCATCTTGAATCAGGTTGACTCCAAAAGAAATTTATATAGTAGATGCACCAGTGATTCATTTATTAAAATCTGTTCAGTCACTTGAGATATTTTGCTAACCGATAAATAACCGCATGTACACACAGACGTCTAGCATCTGCCATTTCATAGCTAATAAACTTTGTTTTAAGCCTGAAGTATGAACATTTTAAAGCAAAAAAGCATCTTTAAAGAAATGATCCATTCTTAACTACCAGGGCTGTGCATTGGCAAAACTTTGGTGATATGATACTTATGACACAGGAGTTGCAATATATATCTCAATATATTGCAATTCTGTAAGCGAGGCCATATATTGTCATTTTTTTCTCCAAAAGAGTCTAATTTTTAAGAACTCAGTATAAAGAGCACATCATGCATACAATTTGATTAAACTGTGCTGTATTTCACATTTCTTCGCACAACATCTATTAAACCTTAATTAAAAATCTATATAGTATCAGGAAATGAAATAGCACAATATTTCAGTGTATCGATACGAAGAAATTTATTGGGGTTTGTTTACTACTGATTTTTAAAAGCACCGCACATTCTGTAGCCTTTTCTCAGGTGAATAATATCTTTATTCTGTGATTATTTTTGTGATTACATTATTTTATGTACAGCCTGGTCTGAGTGGCTAAAGATGGTTACACAGAACCTGAGGTACATAAGTTACATGCCAAAACACACTTTCAACACTAAACTGAACCATTTTCATGTTGGAACAGGAAAATTGTATGAGAGGACCTGATTTCAGCCATTTTTTGATGACGCAATGAAAATAGGCGAAGTCAGGTCCTGAAAAAGGTTATAAGAGTCTCTGTTTCCTGAATCCTTTGCTGAATGCACGGAGAACGTAATAAATCCTGTGATTCAGTCCCAGCAGCTGGTGTGGTTATATGACTTCCTTTTACATTCAAATATTGGTGTATTTTCTATCTGGTTAAAAGTACATATTAAGGTAAACAAACACGCATAATTTTCTTATTCTCTCTGTTATTTTCTTACAGCCCTAATGAATATCAGAGTGAAAAGTTTTTCTCAGTTATAACAGACTTTGCTGCAGCAGGACCTGAAGTACTCTGTGCTTTAATGGGAAGTGCCTAAAGAGGGGTAAAAGAGCTGAACAAAAGGGGGTTAAAATGAAACGACTGCTTTAAAAACTCAGCATGTTGTGTCCAAACTTTACGTCCGCCCGCCGTCATCCACCAGAACAAACAGGAATGATGACCCGTGCACAAACACAGGGCCTCCGTTTGCCAGATTAGTAACAGTTCACCAGAGTTAGCCCTCCCTTCTTCCATTTCTCCTACAAATTCCCTACAGGATTCCAGTCAGGAGCCCCCCCAGCCCCCCCTCGCTCCAGGAATGAGTCTGATCAAGCCCAGAAGACAACAGGAGCACTGTGAGCGGTTCTGATCAACCCTCCTGTTACTGAGGAAACAATACAGGTAGTGACTCACTGCTGGGGGTGACGGGAAGGTGGGGGTCCTGAAGAGAATGGGAGAGGACAGATGATGTAACAAAGAGCAGCCGGAGTGACAGAAGGGGAAGGAGAGGAGGGGGGAGGAAGAGGAAAAGTGGGTGAAAGAATTTCAGACTTTGACCCATCTTTGGTTAACTCCCCCACCCAACCCCCGCTTCCCATCAGCTCTATCAGCTCTATCAGCATGTCCCATGATGTTTATTTATTTTTCCTCCTGTGAGTCGTGGCTGAGTGGGTGACCAACACGAGTGCGAGGGACCAAAATGAAAAGAAAAAAAAACACAGGAATGAGTCACAGAGAGAGTGAAGGCAATCGGAGGGAGGGAATGAGCGGTTGCCGGGTGAGAGAGAAGGGCATCTTGAAGGACCCCCAACCTCCCCCGCCCTACCCCCTCCACAAATAATCTCCCCCATCCCACCCACTTCTATAATATCCTTAGAGCCCCCCTCTCACCATAGCTACTAGCTCCTGCTCACTACTCCTCCCACACACAACAGCACAACAGGCAAAATATTTCAGCCTGAACACACTTCAATCTAAACCTGACTTTTTTTTCTTTTTTTTTTTTACCATAAAAACACAAATCAACATTTTGACTCGAGCTTTTCCAACTCTGGTGCACCAACCCACCGTCTGTCACCACAAAGAACTGCACGTTAGAGTCTAATGTTGCACAACGAGCAGAGCATGATCAGATCAGAGGAGGGTGGAAGTCTTCTCAGCTCTGTAATATGATATACACACACACACCCCCACCCCTCGGAGCAACGTGGAGCAAATGCACAGGTCGATTGGATAATGATGGTGCCGCGATCGCAGCTGCACACCTCCTTAGAAGAAAAAAAAAAGGTGCATGATGTCATCAGTGAGACAAATCGAAGCGGCAGGATAATGAGATCGGAGGCAGGCGGCGAGGAGACCTCGCTGCTTCCTCTCACAGCGTGTTATTTATTGTTTCGTGCATTATTAATGCTGGACTGGAATGTAAAGACGGCCCACGCTGCGCGTCTTCATTTCCAGCACGACGAGCGGAGCGACGGGCTTCAAGCTTCTCCTTAAAACACTCAGATGGATGTTTCACGAGAGAAGATGAGAGTATCAACATTACAGAGTGTTTCTGGGCGCTCAGACAGAAAGCCTGAGGCTAAAAAAAAAACTAAGGGGGACAGAAGCTGTCTCACTCCACACGTCAGGGTAATGGTCCTCCATGTAAGGCGATGCTCTCCATTATACGACACACAGGATACATTATTATGGCTTTATCTGGCAATTATCTGCATTATTGATTTGATTCAGACACTTCACAACCTTTATGATTGGGTTATGGGCAAAGATTATGAACAATTAGTGTCTTACTTGTTGCAGATAACTCTTTAAATAGCCTGAGTCGACAAACCAACAGATTTAACACCGGTTTCTCATTGGGCTCCGACTCAAAAGTGAGAAAATAGACAAATTGTTAGATTTAGTCTGGCTGAATTCTGAGTTTGGGACCAGAAAGCTGCGCAGCTGCAAAACTTTATCCTAGGCCGGGCGTTTCCGCCCACATCACACTCACCTCGGCTTGCTTTGTACAAACTTATGATTTAAGGCGAAAGCAGATGCTCACGCTTTCCACTCGACGACTGTTTTGGAGGGAAAATTTCCAACCAAAATGTTCAGAATACAAGCAATAAGACTCAAACCAGCAAACTTAAAAAAACTTCAAGACACTTTGGAGACACCCTAACCTTTCACCAACAGCTGCAGCCCTGTGAGATTTTCAGCTATTTAGTGGATTTCTATTAAAGCTGCACGACGAATCATCACAGTGTACGTGTGCGCAATATTCACATCGCAGGTCCTGCAAATTAAACCATGTAATCTAGGAACTAAACCATACGTTACTGCATTAAAACAGTCATGTGTTGGAGCTTTTATTTTGACGGGTTGCTTCCACAGGCAGAAGCAACACAAGCGGCTTTGTGTTAAAAAAAAGTTTAAACTTTCATTTTGTTGTGAAACTTTTGGGATAATAACGGCAACATTTTTTTTGTTGAAGCGATGTCGGTGAATTCTTGAGCTGTGGAGGAAGACGATGAAAATCTTGACAAAAACGAGGAAGATGAGCAAATTCTGAACAGGAGGAAAAGAGATAAAATCCAGTTAAATCCTGACAGAAACTGAGATAGTGGTAAAATGCAATTCAGGTTTGCAGATCAACCAATCAAAACGTTATTTATATAGCACTTTACACACCCCAAGGCAACCACTGCTGCACAACAAAACAAAAATACAGTAATATGAAAACCTGCAAACAATCCTCACTTCCAAAATAAAGAAAAATAATTAAAAAAAGAGAGAGACTGGACTGTACGTGCTCTCTGGAGTTTAAAGCCAAACCAAAACGATAAGTCTTTAAAAGAGATTTAAATACATTAATAAGCATTCTGGCAGATCTCACAGAAACAGGGAGACCAGTCCACAGCTCAGAAGACTCTGTCCCCTTTAGTCGCCTGCGAGTCCTACCAGGATGATAACTGTAAACAGGTGCCACACCATTTAAAAACCAAGAGCAAAACTTTTAAAACAATCCAAAAAGAAACAGGCCGCCAATGAAGAGAACGCATTACCAGGGTAACGTGCTCACATCGTCTAGTCCCCGTTAACAAACGATCAGCAGAAGACGGTGGAGCAGAGACTGCTCACACTGTAAAGAGAGCTGCAATAATCCAGTCTGGAGAAAATAAAAGCATGAATAACTCTCTCAAGGGAATCAAGAGAAAGATGAGGCCTGACTTTGCCGATGAGCCTTAATTAATAAAAACTAGACCAGACCACAGCGCTGACCTGTCTGTCAAATTTAAAGTTAGTGTCTAAAATAACCCCAAGCCAACAGCACTGCTAAATCCTACCAGTAGCTCTGTTTTATTTTCCTTTAGACAAAGAAAATTTTGCTCCATCCAACTTTTAACATACTTTAAGCAATTCTGCAGATTGATAGGAAACATATACTAATGTTCCAGCACAATAAAAGCAATATAAGGTAACAAGAATAACTCAAATACAAACATACTTGAAAAGTGCACAAAAAAAGAGGTCAGATCGGTGCAGGTTCATCGTCAACAAGACGGCAGCATGACAAAGTAAGATCCAAGTCAGCTGTTGAAAATTCCTGTATTTATTTCATATCGCAGAGTTGGAACAAAAGTCAGGTTTTCCCAGTATCACGTAGCCCTAATTTCTACAGTTTA